CAGAAGGAGAGGGAGGAGAAAGGCTATTGAAAAGGACCTCAAAGGATCGCGGCTCGCAAGGCTAGCAAAACAACTTCAAAAAGCTATTAAAACTTCTCAAAGGGGTACGGAGAAGGAGCTTCATGGCTCCTGCAAAGGCTACTCAAAAAAAGAAGCCTATCGCGAGGCCTCAAGGTGGTGAGGAGCCTCAGGGAGGTGCTGCAAGCTCACCACCTCCAACCTCGCGTCGCGGCCGCGCGATTAGAACTCCGTCTCGATTTCTATAGCTGTATATATATATTAAAGCCTATTGATCTCACCACCAAAATATATCGTGATAATATCTATTTGGTGTGGCTCTATAGCCTCGTTTTTAAGGTAGTTTTGGTGAGGCCGCGCGCGCACTTTGTGGTCGCGCGCACTTTGTGGTGGGGCTAGTTAGACCAGGAACACGCCTTGTGGTTGACGGGAGCCGGGGTCAACACTCCAGCTCCACATTGCTCTCAACGCTATCAGAACATGTACGAGATACATCGCTATCGCATGCGCCCAAGCGAGTTCGATCATGCTTATTAAGAACATACACGGAGATGTCTGAACCTCATTGTTATGCGACAGCTTTCAATTCTGGACAAATGACGAGACGACCTTGCAATGCGCTGCTGGAGTCAGCGCAGCCTGGTTAAGAATAGCCTCCCACCTTGAAATTGACCCTATCATGGGTTAACAATGCATCAGCACTGTTTGTTGTAGCTTGCCACTGCTCAGCCTCCTAGTTCTGCGGTTATGCGGCGTGGTGCGCAGCCTCGCGAGGCTCACCAGGCAAGCCTCCAACTCCTAGAAAACACTTCGCCAGAGGTCACGAGGCAGATTGATAAGCCCTCCCACATGTCCTCCCACCAATCCTTCCAGGACGGCAGTCCGCTGACCAAGGTTAGACGCTGCAGAGCGAAGCACTACTGAACGGGTGGCGTCCCAATCAATAGAAACAGCTCTTAGTAACCTGAATAAGGCCACCTTGGCACCTTGCGACTCGGGTCCGCGAAGAATACAAAACCAATTTACCCTGGAACTCTCATGCCGCAGAGATGGAGCACGACTTTGATTTTCGAGCCACTGTATACTCGCAGCCATGTCTTCCTACTTGCCCTCGTTTAGCTTCCCACGACCCGGACCAGTTTTGCCTCCGTTGTCAGACTCGTCCATCGAACCCATGCCACCTTCTACCGATGAACGCTTGGAAAATCTCGACCCGAATATGGATCCCTTGCAGTGGTACATGTACACTGCCCTGCAGCACAACGACACCTATTCTGCCGATTATCTTAGCCGGGCAGACAACGATGTGCATGTGGGTGATATAATAGAGCCAAAATTCAACGCCCCACAAGTCAACCCTCCTGATGCTGAACCGAAAGAGTGGGTTCTCAGGTGGGAGATGGTGTGCCTGCTGTGTCCCTTGGCCGCAGATGGCCAGCAAAGAAACAGAGACTTGGACACGGGATACCCGTTTTGCGATAGAGAAATGCTCACACTTGCGCCAGCCAGAAGTTATTCCGAGTCTGTACTCGACGATGATGGTATCGAACGATGGACACTAAAGGTACCAGAGCCGACCGTGTTAGGCGCTGATGACTTGGCAGCATGTACAATCGAGCAAGTATTGAATCCAGGTCATATTCAAAAGACTATACTCGATGTCGAGAATCCCAGAGTCATAAGCCAGATTTTCATAGTATCTCGTGCACCGAGGGAGGGAAGTTATTACCGATACAATGAGGACCATCCCTGGGGCGTAGTAGATGATTCGATCCAAGGCCCAAGTCTGTCTATTTCATCACCTACACCTACGCCCACTAGAGATGTGCTAGGTTGGCTGGCACCTTTCTCCACCTCCTCCAGCGCATACAGCACGCCTACGTACAGCGTATCTTCCAGCGGCGGTTCAACGGGAAACAGTCACGAGGACAGCTTGCAGGGCGCAGTAAAAGTCGGTGTGGGTGTCGGCATTACAATCATAGCCTTATGCTTCATCATCTTCCTCGGCTTTTGCATTCGCGGACGGAAGAAAATGGAAGAGAGCTCGCCAAACACATCAAATCCAAGGAGCCATCTACCGACTGCAGCAGCAGGGGGACGCGGAGCTGCGGGAGAACAAACGTACGTGGATAGATTTCGTAACGAAGCACTGTCACACCTGCACGTCACGCCACAGCCCTCAGCACAGCATCACCAAAGCGTATCCATAACACAGCAACGAGCTCCAGCTGAACAAGCATACGTTGACAGATTCCGCACCGAAGCCCTCGCACGCACACACGACCGAATACATCCTTCAGACGCCCAACGAGGCACATACGAAATGGTACACAGTTCTCTGACAACCGCGCCCGCACCCCAAGACGACGACCAAGATGTACCCCCCGCATACCACAAAGTGGTAACGAACCTCGAGCGCATGGAGATTGAGCGAAACATGCATAGAGGCGAGGCGCCGCAGCACAGATGGCCACCGACTTATCTCGATGCGCAGAATGCGGCTGCACCGTCTGCATCGGGATCTTCGCCCGTGGCGCCTAGCCCTGCTCCAGGATCTGCTCCTTATCCTGCGCTTCCGTCGTCGCCTCCAAGATAGGTGTGAGTGGGCAGAACAAGGATTTTACGAAATTCGATTGGACTTTTCCTTCATGAGTCTGGTTCTAGTGAGCATCGATAGTTCAGTCGGCATCGAACTTCGCCTTGAGAAGCAGAATCATCGTTGCTGGCTTGTCGACTGCTCACACCGTAGCACGAAACTATTTCACCAGATGGAACTCACAACGCGCAATCGATGCGTTTCGTATTCAAAGAAGGACATCTGGAGAATCCATTTACACAGCCGTGGTTTTTGGCTTTGCTATCGGGCTGCTGGTGCTACTCGTGTTCGCGCATATGCCATACCAAGGGTGGCAGCACAACGTGAAGGCAGGCTCGCTGATACACAGGAAGAAAACGGAGAGTCTGTTTGACAGGACGAGGAAAAGAAGGATGCAGGAACGGAATGAAACATTACTTCACGCACTCCAGAGCAGTGAGAATAGTAAGAAAGGTACATATTTAATATCAATATTTATATTTTATTGTTCCAGATAAATTGAGAAGTTTAGTCCCAGAAGGATCTTTTAGCACGCTTGAATGTATAGTAATACATAGTACAAAGTATCCATAACCCGTGCTTTGTTAGTGCTGGTGGCTCAATGTCTCTCCAGCATGTGCGCACCCACGCTTCATTTCCGGACCGTGTGCCATCTGCCTGGAAGTGAACTGTAGAGTAACCGCGTAACTACCATCAAGATCCGTATAAGTAGCCGCCTATGTAGAGTGCCATAACGTTGACAGCAATAAACCCCGCCTAACTGTCGGGAAGCCGTTGAGGGTGCCTCTCAGAATCTGGTGATGACTTATTTAAATACGAATCATTCAGCGTATTGGAAACGGCACTGCTCTTTAGGCAGCCCCTGATATGGATTAGCATTATCTTATGTGTGGATGAATTTCTCATGAATCTCACAGGTTGAGTCTGGATATCCAAATTTGATATCCTTTATGCATTTCATAATCTCTTCGTCACCTAACCAGTACGGTGGTACTTTTCTTCATGCCCGTCGGCACCATTGACGCCATTTGATCCCTCGTCTCCGTCGTCCCTCGTCCTTACAGTGCCAGCACCCGGACCCAGCTCTTCCCCAATCACCATGCCCTTGAAGTTGCCATTCTCGTCAAGATACTCGTCGATGTTGTCAGCTGTGATCCAACCGGATGCCCCGGGCGCTGTGTCGTCCATGATATCCTCGCCGTCGTCACTGCCATCTGGGTCGGGGTGAAGATCCGCGCATGTGTTTAGCGCAGCGAAGAACTCCGAAATACACGTGTCGGTGGGTTTTGTGTCATACGATGGTGGCAGAACGGTGATTTCCAGCATGTGGATGTCGTCATCTTCATTCACGGTCTCGGCGTCGTTGAGCGAAATATTCATGTACAGCGCCTCGATGGTCGACTTGTACTTCATGGTTGCGTGCAGAGCGAGAGACGGGTACGGGATGGATATGCCGACAGGAGAGGGTGAGTTCTGGAATAGTATGAGGTTTCTAGGGGTTGGTTAGTGCTTATCATGGTTTACGGAAAAGAAGAGACTCACTCGGAAGATACCCAGACGTCAACCCCATCTACCAGGTCCTCTTCTCCCTCGCGCCTTGAACCAAAGCTGCTGAAGGCGGCGTCTTGTTTGAGCCGGTCAGCAGCTACTGATAGTGTCACGGCCTCGTAATGCGCATGGAGAACGGGCTTTGCACCGAAGAACGAAGTCGGCGTCTGCTGTTGGTGTTCGGATAGTGGGGTGAAGTCTTCGGCCTTGGGCGCGCTATCGAGGCGTGGAAGCGACATTGTGGACGCGAATGTGTTTGTGTAAGTAAAGGAGATACACGAGGCGGTCTGATTGGAGGACAAGGATTGGTATACGGTGGTGGCTTGTTCGAGTATATGTGCGAAATCAAAGATGGATGTTTAGCTGCTGGGTACCAAAAAGTCGCGGGAGCTAGCAGAGCGTCATTGCCCCACCGCGGCCTTGGCAGGTACCAGATGCATTTCCATCCTCTCCGCCCTCGCAACTCGTCGCACGCGTCCCAACATGCGCGACTTTTTCCTGTGACGGCAGACTCACCACCAAGCGCTGCACTGAATTTTTCGTAGCGCACCTATCCTAACTTCTCCTTTCTCACCCACGCGATGCCTTGAGACGTGCCTTGTCGAGCGGTGACATCGGATCGCAACCAACATCTCGCACCTTGCACCCAGCGCCAACATGTCCTTCCCGGCCACGCCCATCGCCAAGCTAACCGGCCATAATGGCATCGTACATGCTGTCGCCTACTCGTCCGGCACCCAGTCCTACATATTGACCGGCTCCTCCGACCGCACAATCCGCCTCTACAACCCGAAGAACGCTCCGTCCAATTCAGTCGCCCCCACCCAGTCTTCGCAGCGTCCCGCCGGCCTCGTAAACAAATATACGGCGCACGGCTACGAGGTTCTCTCCATCGACGTAAACGAGGGAAACGACAAATTCGTCAGCACCGGCGGTGACAAGACAGTCTTCCTATGGGATGTCCAAACCGCACAGACGGTCCGCAGGTGGACTGGCCACTCCGGGCGGGTGAATCGCGGTGTATTTGGCGGTGAGGGCGACAGCGTCGTAGTGTCTGGAAGTTTTGATGGCACAGTTCGCATCTGGGACGTGCGGTCCAATGCCTACAAGCCCATTATGACGCTGTCCGACGCCAAGGACAGTATTTCAGATGTTGCGATACACGATGCGGAAATTGTGGCTGCGAGCGTAGACGGGCGCGTGCGAAGCTATGATCTGAGGACGGGCATGTGCCAGGTCGATGTCATAGGCCCATCCTGCACTAGTCTGGCTGTGAGCAAAAAAGGCACAGAAGTCCTCGTCAGCTCGCTAGATTCCACTGTCAGACTCATGGATCGCGCAAACGGCGCTTTACTGAAGACGTACAAGGATGACGCGTTTGTGAACAAGGATCTGAGGGTGAGAAGTACGCTCGGCCTGAATGATAGTGTTGTTGTTAGTGGAAGTGACGATGGCATGGTGTTTGCATGGGATATGCTTGAAGGAACATGCCTGCACAAATTCAAGCATTCTGAAATGAGAGAGATGAGTGATTCGGCGCCAAACACCCAGGTAAAGGGCAAGAAGGACCTTGTATCTGCGGTAGCATTTTGCCAGACGAGGCGCGAATGGTGCAGCGGTGGTGGCGACGGTAATGTCGTTGTGTGGGGCATGGGAAGCTAAGACATGCATATATGTGCTGCTTGACTGTTTGATACCCCACCTAGACAATCTCTTTGGATAGTGCCTTTCATCTTCACATCGACTTGTTGGATAGAAAGCAGTCGGCTGTGTCATCAGTTGTGAAGAATGTGGCGTAGCGTGTAGTAGTACCATGAAAATGATGGTGATCACGCACCATGCCATACAGTCCTTTTCTATCCACACATTTATTATAATACGCCACGTGGAAATGTATTCGAACACACGTATAATAATAATATTCTCAATCTCAGGGCAACGTAATCAACTTACAATCTGATCAACGAGGCTAGGCAATACAAACCGAGAAGAAAGACATACTGGACGATCGCAAACAAGCCGAGAGAAACGAAATGACCGAAAAGTCGGAAAGGAAAATAGTATCTGGAGAATCATGTCGTAACTTCATGGTGCTAGCAAAGATTCATGTTGAGAAGCAGTCGCTGTGAAACGTATAAGACAATAGATACTCAGTACAATCGTATGAGGCGTAACTCGCGAGTGGTGTCATGAGACTGAGACCAAGGATCGGAAAGAAAGGGGATGTACACTGTCAGAGTGTACATCTAGCGACTGAGAGCCGAAATTTAGCGAAAGTAGGTATATGATCTCTCATACCTCCTGAGGTCTGCGCTTGTCCATGGCGGATAGGTATGGACGTATACGACGACGCCCCTTTTCGAGAGCCCTGTCATGGAAAGTCAGTGAAGTTCGCTATACAAGGCAACTTAACTTACAACCATCGCTGACGCCGACGCCAAGCTGTTGTTGCCAAGTTCCGTTCACGCATATACGAGGCAAGACGTTTGGCAGCTGAGTCGGCTCCGCGGCGAGGGCGACAAGAGCGAGGAATAAGGCCAAATCTCCCTTGAGACCACCACCCAATGCTTGGCTATGAACAAATGGCACGCCTCTGTAGTGGATATCGGGCAGCAGCATCTGCAACCAATGTTGACCGTGTTTTCGGCACGCAACTGTACGGTGCTGTGCCGAATCGCACAGATACGAAGAACCATCTTGAAGGTTGTGCTCAAAGCACAGAGGTTGCCATGCCGCTTCACGGCGTGGATTAGTCGCATCGTCCTTGAGAACCCAAAACCCAAACCCGCCGTTGTAGAAGACAGAATATGTCTGGTATGGCTGTGTGTTCGGCGGTTTTACCGGACTCTCGCGAATCTGGGTTCCGTCAAACACCCACCATCTGTAGCTCACATTTTGAGAGCCCACGTTGTGAGGAACAGAATTATTGGCTCCATGTTGAACAGAAGGAATCCAATCACCTCTGCCAGTAGTAACTGTAGGGGCAACCTGATCAGATTCGCATATTTCATCGATTCGGAAAGCGTAGCGTGGCTATGGCACGGTGAGACTCGAGATGGAACATTCGGCTGAGAGGCGAGACTAACCATGTTTGGTACTCCAGTTGCGTAGTTTTTCATCTTGTCGATATTTGGAGTAGGGTGTGCGTGGCCGTTCCAGGGATGCGTTTGCCCTGCTCTGTACCATGATTCTCCTCATCATCACCAGACTGCTTTATCCCCTTCTGCTCGCCATGCGGCTCTGCGTTTTGCTGCTTGTAAAAAGAAACATCCTGGTCAAAAGGTCAGACGACGAGCTCCTACATGACGGCGACATGGGGTGGAAATCTATGGGCAGCCTCTGATAAGCTGGACATGGTGTCAAGCAGGCATGGCGCAGGATCCTACGTCGGCTGCAGCAAGCCTGCGATAGGGAACCAGCTAGAATCTCCTTACCCCGCTGTATGCCATCATTACCAAGGGCTGTTGATACATGCTGTATAGTTGCTTTGTTTCACCTGAGGGGACTTGGCCGGCACATGTAGTGGGAATAGTGCTCAAGAGACATCCTCAGGTGTGAGAAACCGTCTAAGAGGGTATAGAGGGGCCCATTGTAGGTTCAGTAGTCTTTTCGCGGTCATCGGGTTCTCGTGGCTATCGAGTCTGTCAGCTGCATCTCAGCAAAAAGCATGGAGGCTAGCCAGCTGGGCATAGCGCTCCATGAAACCCCCCATGGGCTGCATGAGTAGCAACCACTTCTTGCTGCTGGCTAGCCAACGATTGGAGTGCCACAGCGCCTGCCCAACAGCGCTCCGGGGTGGATCCCTCTAGCGAAGCGCCCTAGGTTTGTCCAGCGTGACAATTGGCGTGAGACAGCGGAGGAACTGGCCCGTCAGGGATTCGGCTAGAGAGACGCTCGACGTGTTGTCCAAGGCAGAGGAGCCGGCAATGTGAGGAAAGCCTCAGCTCCGCGAACAAGGATGCGGGGAAGTCGACTGGCCGCGCACACTGTGCCTTCCAGCTGATCGACTACACTCCAAGGAGACGGCAAGTACACAATCTTGCCAACTCAAATCATCCAGGCCAGACAAGGGAATAGCGGTATTTCAGTTGAATGTCTGCATCATCTGTGTCGTCGCAGGCGTATCGCCGTGTATTTGCACGTGCTTGGGAGTGGCTGGAAGCGACTGAAAGATGCGGCTCTGCGCACCCGACGGGTTATAAGCCGGCGTAGGGCCTTGCTGGCCGACAATTTCGTGGGCGCTTATTGTGTCGATCGTTCGAACGGCGATTGTGTCGGACGGCCCATGTGCGCTTGACGGCTACGCAATACATCCCCAGTAGGTCTCCTCTGACTCTTTTTTTTCGATAGGTCTTGATTGCTCTCGCCTAGTTGCAAACATCGAGGGCGTGCCGGAGTCAAGTAGACGCTCGCAGGATTGGGCTGACGTGCTAAGGCCATCGAAGGACCTCTTCATGCAAGTTTGCCTTCTTCCTATTCATGGATCCGCACCGTTCGATTGGGCCATTTTCAAAGCCGCTAATGGAGGCGGGAATGGTCCCCCGTACCTTGCTGGCGCCAACAGGCTGCTAATCGAGGCAGGTGTCTCTGTGGCCTGCATGATTGTATAAATTCCTTTACCGGATATCGGCCCTTGCAGCTGAACACCTGCACTCCAAACGATGAGTCTCGGCATAAGATGCGAATGCAACTCACCGGTCGAATCCTGACATTGTGGGAAACGCTCGTCACAATCAGGGTCATGCGCACACCATCACAACTCAATGTCCAATCGAACGAGGCGATACCTGTCAGCGCTCGCACTGGAAGGAAAGCAGGCCACGATCGAAACTTGCCGTGCCCGCGGCTGCTTTCAAATCCTCAGTCCGGTAAGATAAGGCAAACCCAGAATACGACCCCGCACGAAATGTCCTCAGCGGTCGCAACCCAGACACCAAGCCCAACCGAGAGGCTAACGACCCTCAGCGCCCGACCAATGCCTTCTTGTCATGGGGACGTGCCATGAAACGATAGGAAGACACGCTGACCCCTCCGTGCCAAGTGCTTGCTTATTTTATTGGCGATAGTTTCTCAGGGAGATGCTGTGTTGAGCTGAATGGAAGATTTTCTGCACCGCTCAGTCGGACAGAATGAATAGCGAACCCTATTCGGGCTAGGAAGCCCTCAGCTACCGAATGACTTGGGTAGCCGCGTACGATGCAATTTGGCATGGCAGAATCAAGGACGGCTCCAGAATTGCAGGCGCATTGGTGAGAGTTGCCGGCCGATGCCGAAGGCGTTCATTCGTTCAAGTTATGCCGCCGCTAGATGCAGATCACAGCTATACAAACGCACCACAGGACGAACGTGGAGGTGCGTGCTTTGGTCCTCCTGCTGCAATGACGGCCAACTGCGTGCCGATGATGTGACGAGGTCCGCGAACACAAATTCCCGTTTGCGCAGCGTCCTGAGCCGAAAATCAAAGGGTGGCGGAACGAAGGAGCTGACTCGGGAGTAGATGCCTCGACTTCCTCCACTCAGACATTCAGCTCCTATCCGAGAAGCTTTCCTGCGCCTTTCCGCCACACAGCAGTATATGGCGATTAACACTTGCAGTGCCCTCGTACAATGACAATCGCGGATGAGCTACGGGGTCAGAGATTTCCAGCTCATGTATATGCGACCGCCATTTTCCAGTCGAGTCCCGAACGAAGGACCTGAGACCTAGCCAACGTCTGCCGGGTTGTGGATATTGCCCGTGTCGATGATATCTCAGGAACCCATGCGGGGCGTCGGCCTAAGAACGAATGAGCGGACACAAGGCGTAGTGAAAGCCCTGTAGCATCTGAAGGCCGCTTGCTGAGCTGTGGAAGGATACCAGGGCCGCTTCAGCCACAACATGGACATCCAACGCCGATTGCATTCTGGAGACTTGGATACGCGTAAGTCAGGCCTTGAGGCTGGAGGAAGAGGCTGGTGGTATGCCGGACGCGGGAGAGAGATAGCGATTGAGGTTGAGTTTGGCATGCGGGAGCTAAGACGGGTAGGGGCTGGCTGACGGTTCTTTCCTCAAGGCGATTTGGATTTGGCACTCGGGCCAATCACGAGCCGCCAATATCACCCGTAGTGTTGCCTGAAATCCATCCTCACGACGACACGCTGCTTCTCGGGTCGGCACGAAGACATCGACATTCAACAGCTCATTCGGTTAGCGCTGAGCTTCAGGCCATTATGTAATTTTATCAGGGGATGACGTGTGCTGCTCTGAATTCAAAATGGTCTGTGCCGCCGCCTCACACTCAATAGCTAACTTCTCGGTAGCACAGCTCTCTGGTCTCGATCAAAATGTCAAAATCTCCTTCTCGACATCTGTGAAACCGGGCCACATAATATCAAATGGAGATGCTCATCGGATATTCCTAAAAAAAATTGACGGAGACCTACCAACACACGGGTATGCCAGACAATGTATTTACACAATACCACCGTATACCTGGAAGATCAAGTATGTTCGAATCTAATATAAATATATACTGACACGAGAGCGATGCATCTGACCAAAAGCTATTTTCCCAAACCTCGTTTCTCAAAGCACAATGCGGAAACTGCAATCCTTCTCACTCATTCTTGCCGCTGACATGTTACGAGGTATCTTCAGAGAATACATCATATGTCCCACAATTAAATCCTTGCACCCACCGACTAGCGTTGTAATCTCACTCTTGATCTGCTCAGACTCGCCGGAATGTGCATCCATCAGCCGCTTCTCCGCTTCTAATAATCGTTTCCAGCTTTCCTCGACCATTCTCACACAACGATCAACAGCAACTTGGGCACTGCACCCTTCATTCCATACCATGACTGGAATTGCCGAGTCGATGTCACCATCATCAATCTCTTTCCTGAGACTAACAATATCGTTCCAAAGGAAATCACTAGTGGCAACCTCGCGCGTTATGGCAACCATGGCTTCGTGTTCCCAGATCGAGGGAGGAAGACTAAGGCCGTACGCCCATTGCATCACTGCGACACAAGGATTCGTTCCGACAGTTCTCAATCGGCGCGTAGTATATTGTTCCAGTGTGGATATCCCTTGGGCCCATGTGGCCTGTGACGTCCGAACACCTAGGACAAAGTCGTAAATTGCCGCTGCAAATCTATCACGCGCTTCTGCGACAGAGTCAGTAAAACCCATCTGAGATATCAGCATCTTACCTTTGGACTGCCCCTCTTGCATGGCCCGGCCCATGTTGACCCAAGGCCCACAGTTGTGCAATCGACCCGGCGCTGGCACTTCGCCTTCAAGTTCCGGTTGCAAGCAATGCCTGATGAAGTTGAGAGTATCCTCGCAATATGCTTCGGTTTTGTCACGGTCTTCGGTCAGCGAGCCACAATCGATCTCGTCATCCCAGAAAAAGAACTAGCAATCCTGTAAGCTACATTCACGAAGAAGGCACTTGAATTACCCAAGCAACTAGTTCACCAACAATGAGAAACTTATCTGGTGCAACATGATTCCAGAAGTATCCAACGCAGAGTGCGTTGTCGACCTTTCTCTGCTTCTTTCTGCCGCTTTCAGTACTGACAAACTTTTCAAAATAGCCTTCAAGGTATTGCCTCAACACGTTAACTTCTGGATGTACTTTGGCTTCCCAGTCAGAGTAGATGTAGTGAATGTCTGGGACGTGAATCTCCTGGCCCCGCAGTTGAGCTATGATACGTGCACGATGATCCGTGTATCTTGGCAATGTATCATATGTGGCAGATGAGAAAGGCTTTTGAGTCTCGATGTGCTTGGGACCGTGAGGCGACCTGGAATGCTAGAAAGTGTCGGCAGGCGAAAGGCTCTATGGTACGTCCATGGAGAACTTACCTGTCGGATATACAGCCTAAGGACCGAAGTCCATGAGCTGAGTATACTTGTAATAGTCATAGTTCACAAGCAGGATTCCAACCGTTCAGTCTTTACAAAACAACCAGAACTTGCACGACATGAAGGGACCCAGCCTCTTTGTATTCACCCACACCACCACTCTCTTGGCCGCTTGCCTGATCGCTTATCCATGGTATAGTTGGCTTCGATCTGATTTAGCATATGCTGAAGATCTCTGCATTCCGCTCAAGGGGCGCCCCTTCAGACTGCACTGCCAGCGCACCGGCCCTTCTCATGAGGACGCGCTCCCAGGCCCGAACCGATCCTGTTGGTTCAATTGACATTTTCTCCGAGTCAGATTGGCCCTTGAGCATCGAATCGAGAGTCCTTGATGTAAGCGAGGCGTTGGGCGCAGCCCACGTGAAAGCTCTACAAGGGTCGTGTGTGGTAGTACAGGTTCGCGTGTCATTCTTACGCCGCGCTCTCGCGGCTGTCACGATACGAGGGCACGCTGCACGCCCGCTCACATCGAAGCCCTTTTTTTCCGGCCGATCGGAGAACGGCGCCGTTTGCCTGAATCTGCCCCGCCTGCATCTTGCGCCGGATAGCCATATCGTTGGTTGCCCGATGCGAAGGGCGCTGTCATGCCTTTCTAGCCTGCGAATCACTCGTAGCCCCGACCGCCACGGAGCAATAGACTTGCGACTGTCGAATCAGATTCAGAATGGAATGAGCCACATACTCGCAAAGGTCAGATTCCAACCGTAGCATGCAACCCCCCACTCAACAGCAAGCTCCATCTGATGTGAACAGGCAGCACTCGATGGTGCAGCATCGATTGTCACAGCCCTGCGTAACACTTCTGCAGCCGCAGCTTTACGAGCTCCGTGCCGTAACCTACTCAGCATGCTACGGAAAAAGATGCAACTCCTTGGCCATTCTTATAATAACCTCAATATAGCGCACTGAGCCACTCTTTTAATAGCCTCATCCCGAAACACATGACATGGGACGAGGCGATTGGAGCCACACACCCGCGCCACACAAAGGGATTGTGTCACAATTTACTGACTACATTGCCTGACAGCCCCAGCCCTTTCCGCTGTACCTTTTACACCCCCAAAAAATTAACGCAGCGTGTCTTCTTGCATCTATCTATACATGCTGGGTTTACAGCGATTTGGTCGTCACGCAGACATACACTTAACTTAGATACAAGGGAAGAAAATCACGAAAAAGCAGTAGAGTCTGAAGAATTTTCGTATCCTTCATTCTTTCGGTCTTTTTCTTATTCTCCAATTATGTTTAAAATGAAAGCGATAGGGAGATAAGCAAGGAAGATACTTGACTCAACTACATATATATATATAAACCTCTTGATTTCTTAAACCCGTATCACCGTCTCCCTCTCTTCCCTCTCCCCTCTCTCTCTCTCTCCCACACATGTTGGCGCGGGCAAAAATGTTAATGCTAGGAAGAGGGCGTGAGAAATTTCCTGTTGATGCGTTGATGGGGGCGCGGGGATAGGGAGTACGTTGAGGCGATGGGGGGGGGGGGGTTGAAAACCATCACGGAGTGCGAAATAGAGAGACAGAGAGGATGTGGCAAGGGGGGAAAGTTTTTATTTGTTGCTGTTTTCAACGTCATTGCAAAGTTTTTTTTTTTAAAAAAAAAGGGCGTTTACTTAGTTGTGTTCAAAGGTTAACATTTCTTTTCCTTTTTGTCCGAGTATATCTATCCCGCTACATATTACCATCGAGCAACGTGAGGTATTGCCTTTTGCTCCCAATACCTGTGAACATTCTTTTTTCTTATATATATAAATGGAATGCAATACAATGCGTCTTGGGCACGTTTTTTTTTGCCCAAGTAAGTATCTGCCACTTGTATTCTGTATGCATGGAATTGGTCTCGACTTCTTCATCGTGCTGTGATGTGCAGTTTACATGTACGTACGTACGTACAGCATGTATCTTGTATGTGGTATAATTATGTGAGTATGTGTGTCCTAATCCTGGCCGCACCCGCCCCCGCTTTCGCGCCCCTATCACCCGTCAAAATGGCGGGCAGATAATCGCGGTCCATAAGATCCCTCTGTTTCCCCCTCTTGTCCGCCTCGACGCTCCTCAGATACTCCTTCTGGTCCTCCGCGAGAATCAAATCCTTGCCCCAGCCCGCCTTGCCGCCGCCCTGGCCGGCGCTCCATTTATTGTTTGCGGTTCCGGCTATGGGCTTGGGAATGCTGTATTTGTCGCCGCGCTTGTTGAACGTGTAGTTGCGCGCGAGATGGATTTTGAATTCGCCCTTGGCGTTGGTGCTGCACGAGACGCGTTGCAGGGTGGGTTGGCCGCAGCGCGGACAGAATTGGCGTGCCATTTGCTTGACGATGTGGAAGCAGGCGTGGCAGCGAAGGACTTTGGTTGTCACGTTTTTGATGCGCTGCATGTGGGGCGAGAGGAGGTGGAGGTTTAGTTGGAGGAGCACGTTTTGCATGGCGAAGTCGGTTGTCATGGTTGCTACGTCGAGTTGGCGGTTTGCAGTGGTTTGGATGTGGGGTTGGAGGCTCGAGTCTTTGGCTTGGTGCTCTGGGAGGTTGTGGGGTGTGATCCATTCGCCGTCTGAGTCTGAGTCTGGGGCTGAGTCGTCGGTGGTGGGAGGCGTGGGTTGCTGGGATGGTTGTTGTGAGAGGGAAAGGTCGGCCATGTCGTGCTCTAGGTTTGGCTCTGAGGTAGCTTGTGAGTGCTCTGGTGCAACGGACAGCTCTGCGTTTTGCTCAATGTGAATGCTGGCGCTGGGCGCCTCGACTGCTGCCGACTTGTCGATGAGTCCCTGCTCGCCTAGTTGTTCTTCAAGCTGCTCCTGAACCTGCTCCTGGACTTGCTGTTCAATCTGCTGTTCAGCCTTCTCTACAACTTGGCTTTCGAGATTATCCTGGCCCTTGTTCTCAAGTTGCTCGTGAATCTGGTTTTCGACCTGCTCATGAATCTGATCCTGGACCTGCGCTGCGACCTGCTCTTGTATCTGCTCGTGGACCTGCTCCTGAGTGACTGAAACACCACCGTCCTCTTGCGCATCAGTCAGAGTAGGCTGTTCCTGTTGCTGGATCTGGTCCTCTTCGGCCTCTTCAGTCGGCTTGAAATTGAACTTGATAGACTTTGGCGCCCTGGGCTTGGCCGCACGCTTGCCTGTAGGTTGCTCCCAACCCTCATCAGTCTCATCAGCCTTGCCGGGCTCAGCACTGCCTGATACCTCGGGATTCGCCTCCTCGGCCGCCTCTTCTGTAACGTCCTCGCTCGCCTGACGGGCCTTGGCCGCCTTGCGCCTGCGCTTACTCGCCGATTTTGACGAGCCACCCTCAGCCGCAGCTTGCGCGACCTTTTCCTTGTCCGCCTCAATCTCTTCTGGCCTCCTCTTCACTTCCCCCTTTGGGACTTCCCTCAGCCCCCAGTTTCCGCCGTTCCGTTCACAATGGACCTCGTACGCCAGGGCCAGGATGCCCAGATCCTGTCTGCTGAGCACTTCATAGTCGCCCGTCTTCTTGCTGAATACAATCACAGCGTCGTAGCTGGCGGGACTGGGGTTTCTAATTTTTAGAAAGGGAACCAGCGTCGTTTGCACACGTGATCTTGTCGCCTCATCGCGGATTTCAGACAGGATGGCGGGAGTGGTGATGAGTTCCTCGGCAGAGTTGATGAGGGTTGAGATTGACACGGCGTTTTTGATCAGTGGTCCGGTATCCAGAATAAGCGAGTGTATTGGCTTTTGCTGCGCAGACGTAGAGTCATCCATGGTGGTAGTTGTGGTGTGGTGGGTGCTTAGCCGAGTGGTGCACTGTGTTTCTACCTTCTTAATCGGCTTCTCGTGTGTTGTGCTAACTTCTTCAGTTTTTGAAACGGAGAATGTTAAGTTGTAAATATGCGACCGAGTCGAATAGTAGTGTTTGCGCCGTGGGAAGATTTCGCAATGGTGGCGGTAGTGGGGCGCAACTTTTTCGGGTGTGAAAGCTCGCGGGTTCTGATTGGACGGGCTATGACTCTGCCGGACGTGTGACGCTTATGGCTTTAGAGCAATAGCAGCATGGGGGTAAATCGTATGGGATCACAGCTTACAACGAATTTAAATATATTAGCGCGATTCGCACATATGATTAAAAGCCCGGTGTCTTATCTTTGTTGTAGGTAGTAGAGAGAATCTAAAAACGTGAATCATGTATGAGGACACAATAGATACGAACTTGGTCATAGATTGCTTTGGGTATGCCTTGCATGGGAAAAAGGTATATGGTAATTCCTGTTAGCAAACAAGTACGAACACGTTCCTAGTTCAACACAATCGTGATTGCGTGTATTATGTTTGAGCCTGCACATTCAATTCAATCCACTTCACCGGCAACAATCTCAGCGAAATGAACCCTAAATCCTGTCTGATATTCCAACGCCGCCCAATGCTAAAGTTGCGAGTCGTACCCCCGATTCTAATCTAAGTCGACAGTGGTATACAGTATAAGTACATCTTTTCGAAATTGTCGCTTGCTCAGACATTATCACGTAATACCTAGCTCTCGCTTACGCAATGGGCTTACTCCTTTCATCCTCGGGCATGCGCATGTAGGCATCGATTGCTGCCGAGAAAACGGCGAAACCTGCGCATCCCACAGCCACTGCCTGCGGTCCAGCATTCCGTGCCAGGATACCTCCAGTCAAGCATCCTCCCGCGACACCATTGTACAAGTCGTTCTTCGCACGGAGACCCTCAATGGCGCACTCGGTGCCAGAAAATATGGCGCCGACCTTGGCGAAGTTGCGACCAGAGGAAATGGAAGAACGGTACATGTCGCGGAGACCGGCGCGAAGTTGTTGCTTAAGAGGGAGGTCGGTGATTGGGACAGTTCCAGCTACACCGGGGTTGGGGAGGGTGGCTGCAGCAGAGGTTGATGTGGAAGCTAGTGTTGTAGCGGAAACGGAGTTTACGTTGCTCGTGGCTATGGTCGAGGGTTTTACACCAGCTGTAGCGGAAGCACCTGTCGCTGCGGTGGTGGGCTGAGCGACTGGTGTATGGACGGGAAGGGGTTGCGACATGGGAGTATCGTATCGCATCTACCGCATGTCAGGCTTCATTCTGATGTCTGGTTGGAGAATTTTTGGGAGGAATAAGGACATACTGAAGACATGAAGAGTCCGAACATGGCACCTAGACCTCCTCCCATGACACCGGCCATTACTGTCTTACCCAGACAGGATTCCATGCCCATTTGCATCTGCGCCGTCGTAAGTCAGATGCCCCAAGCAGTATTAAAAGATTATCTGTGGCCTACGTACCGCCTTCACCATCTGCTGTTCCTGCTCCGACATGCCAGCGTTCGGGTTCATGGCCGCTGGCATGGCGCCTGGACCTCCTGGAAACGCCATGGTTGCTGCTTGGACAGACAAAGAGTGTGCGCAAGGGACGTGTGGGGTAAAAGATGGGTGGTGCGGTTGTGATGCGCCGCCACCACTTGGGAACTTTTGCGGAGTTCAGAGCGGAGGACGGAAGATTCCGGCGGTGGCACGCAGGTCTTGGCATGCGCCCCAACCATCAAGACTACCAGAAGGCGGTGGGCACAGGTTGGTATCAAGTATTTCAAATTGGTCATTATGCTTCAAATGACGGTACATGTCAACCCGAAGCTGGGTATAGACGCTCTATGTACAATCGCTCAAACGCCTCGCTATTCTGTACAAATGCTGCTCGCACAAGACGGCCAACTCAGCAAGATGCTTTCAAAAGTGAATCAAACATTGCCGTGCCATGGCGTATCGTCGTGATGCAGGATATCGCTAATGCAGATGCCGTAAAACTCTTCGTTAATTCATGTAGTCGCCGTGCGAGTAGTCCTGGGTTCTTGACTCTGGGGGTGGCGTCAGCTGCTTCTCCCACTCCTTCATCAGATGCGATGCCGTACGCTTCAGGTTGCTTGGCGACACCTTTGTCATATCGGGCCAGGTGATGGAGCTGCGTTTGGGTTCGCGGGGAGCGAGGTCTTCTTGGGTGATGGAAGTGAGTGAGGATGCTTTTGAATCGTGGCGCTTTGCATGGTACCGGGTGCTGGTGCTGGTGCTGGAGCTGCCGGGGCCCGACATGGGCGAAGTGTGCGCATCCGAGTCGTCCGAGCTGTCTTTTGAGTCTGTGACGTCGACGAGGAGCGAGTCGTTGGGCGTGTCCCAGTTGTCCCAGTCTTCCTCGGACGCGACCTTGCGGATCTGCTTTTGCGGGGTGGCCGTGCTCTTGGTGGGCTGCGTCTTCTTGTGTGTTGTGCTAGTCTTGGGGTCGGTGACACCCATTTCCTTCCAGAAATCGTCGCCAAAGGAGCCGGTTTGCTGTGACTTTTTGGAGCTGGCGGAGCGACTGAGGGGCGGGCGGCCATCCGATGGTTTCCGCCCCGACTTGGAGGCGCCCTTGGTACCCGCCATTCCCGCCGCACTGTCGCCCATGTGGAGCGCCTCGTCGCCGACGGTAGCCTGGCGTATGTCCTCGATAAAGGTGAAGAGACCCTTCTTGAAGTCTGTGGCCATTTGTGTGCCGGCGCGAATGAGCTGCTCGCGCTGGATGGTGGGCATGCCGCCCATTTCGTAGCGGTCGTGGTCGCCTGCAGTGACGACTTGGCGTGTGATATCTGACGAAGTAGATGTTCGTGCAGAAGACTGGGAGCGCATGGCGGGGGAGCGGTCGTCGAGCAGATCGACCGTTTGCGAAAAGGCAGGCGAGTCGATGCGCTCCGGGGAGAGGAGCGAGAGGGTGCGCAGATGGCGCGAGCCGCTGAAGACCTTGCGCTGTGAAGTCTTTGCGTGGTTGAGGAGCGTCTTCCGGCGCTCCATTTCCTTTTGCATGGACAGGCCCGACGAGTCGTCGTCGTAGGGGCTGGGCGGGGCATTTGCGAGCGAGGTATCGAGGGGTTGCAGGGCAGCCACCTTGCGGCCTTGGGTGCGGCGCTTGTTGGCTTCATGGCGGGCCCAGTGCGACTTGAGCATGGTGAGGTCGGCTTCGGCCTTGGTCAGCTCCTCCTTGAGCTCCAGCACGTAGCGCTCCTGGGCGGCCAAGACGGCCAGAATGTTTGTTTCGTGGGGGGTGTCGTCGGGCGGCTCTGGCGAGCGGATGGGCGTGGCGCCGTGGACCCATGACTGGGGGCGTGTTCGCTTGGCCGAGGCGGGTGTGTAGATGGTGGCGGGCGAGGGCTGGATGGGGAACTGGAGGGACAGGCGCTTGCCCTGGCCGACGACGTCGATGGTCTTGGAGCGGGTGTGGGCCGACATGGCGGGCCGTCGAGGGGGTGAGGACAGCGGTTGGGGGGAAAGAGAGGGCAGGGAGGCGGCGTGAGGCGAAGATATTTCGGCGTGGGCTGACGAGAGGGCCCCTTGGTTGTGCAGGGCGGGCGGCGTCTGTGCTCGATCCATGGAGGCAGCGCGGCGAGGGCAGGGCAGAGACTTGGGGGGATGCTGAGTCCTGGCGAGTGCACAAAGGAGGGCTGGGAGATGAGCGCGGCGAGCGAGTCGGTGAAGAATAAGCGAGGCGGCGGAGGCGGCTGGGGAGCGGCCGCTGCCACTGCCACTGCTGCCGGAAGAGCAATAGTAGCGGTACACTTGGAGGTGGAGGGCTAGAAGCGCGGCGGGGAGGCCGACCAATCGGAGCAGCAGCGACCTGGTGAGCCACGAGCACCACCGCGATGTCCGTCTTGGAGTTGCTGCTAGCAGCGCAGCCATTGCCTTTGTGGCCGCCATGTAGTAGTGGAAGTCGTATCAACAGAAGAGAAGGCGGTCCTCGTGCGCCGGCAGCAGCGGCGGCGGCGGCGGCGGCGGCGTCGTCTTTGAGGAGCATCTCTCACGCGCACACGCGCCCAGACCACGGGCATGTCATTTCAGGAAACACGTCCTGGTGCAGTGTGTCCATGGGGGTTGCTTGCGCGGCTAGTCGCTGTGCCGAGGGGCAGCCGAGGGTATTTTAGGGTGCGTGGTGCTAGTGGTGGGAGGGGGTGGAGGGGGTGAAGGGGGTGAAGGCAGTGGAGGGCAGTGGAGGGCAGTGGAGGGCAGTGGAGGGCAGTGGAGAAGGCAGAGAGGGGGCATACGGGAGCGGGAGGGGAGGAGGAAGGGAGGGACACTCAACCGTCGGCTGCAACGTCACCATCGCTCCATCTCTCCATCCCGTCTCGCTGCACCGGCGCCGCTGGTAAAGGCATGTGAACTCACCTCACATGTGCAAGAAACAAGCGCCCCAAGCAAGCACATGCACATGTTTGCATGCATGGGGTGACTGGCTGCCCACCAGGAGAAAAATCAGGATGCTCGGAAATGACGGGCCAGGCCACGTAATTTGAACCATGCAGCGCCCAAAAGCAAGCCCCAGGCCTTTTTGCTCTTCATGCGCTCGCCATGGCCCTGCCTGCCACCCAGCGAGCCACACGAGAGACGGCGGCCCCGTGACCTGAAACACCCTCGCGTCTTTGTCACAGCAACCAGCGCCCTCGACGCGCCCCCGGGAAAAAAAGAAACACGCCCACAACAACAACGCGTCAACGTCCAGCCAATGCGCCGCCGGCTCCCCCCCCTCGATGCAGCGGCCAGCCCTCACAGCAGCCTATTACCCGCTCACGGCAGAGCTTATGCAGGGCGGCGGTGCTGCTAACACCAGCTCCCATGTAACCACCACAATCACCCGCCTGCCTGCCCGTTGGCCGCCCACCAAACCGCCCCGTCTGGCGCGAATCCTCCAACATTGGCTACCGAATCCGCCCCATGTGTCGCCCTGCTCCGCCGCTCGCTTGGATGCGCCAGGGCTCCGTGTTAATCTTACCCGCAACGTCATGGCGGGGGGTTGTGCGTTGCGTTTGTTGTCCAAACCTTGGCCCGTTGCCTCGGCGATGATAGGGCTGAGGACCCTGCGCGATAGTGAATATACACCACCGCACGTCGCTGCCAGGCCGCACCCTCCCCAGATCCCCCCGCCCTATTGCTATCCCACGCCTTCTTCGCCGTCCGCCCTGCCCCCTACGCCCACGCCACCTGGGCCGCCGCCCACCCTCTGCGCCTCGCTACAGCCCTACGTAAAAACCCTCTCCAGCTCGCAACCCCCGAATCGCCCGCCATGGCCGACGGGTACCAGGTCATGGAGGAGCTGGGCAGTAAGTGCCCCTGCAGTGCCCTATATGTCGCGGGTCGCTAGTTGCTTACGCCGACGCAGGTGGCAGCTTCGGCAAGGTCTTCAAGGCAATCGAAAAGAGCACCGGCGAGACCGTGGCCATCAAACACGTACGCATGCACACGCTCTCTCCCGCTCACCGCCCACGCTCACCCGCATAGATCGATCTCGAGGACAGCACCGAGGAGCTGGCCGACATCCAGGCAGAAATCTCGCTCCTGAGCACCTGCCACAGCCCCTACGTCACCGAGTACAAGACCAGCTTTGTCAAGGGCGTCAAGCTATGGATCGTCATGGAGTACCTGGGAGGAGGCTCAGCCGCAGATTTGGTATGTTGCACGCCTGCGCACGCACACACACACACACACACACACACGACAAGCAGCACCACGGCTGACTGGCTTAGTTGGCACCCGGCACGTTCAGCGAGGCCCACATTGCCATTACCTGTCGCGAACTCCTGCTCGGACTCGACTACCTCCACTCGTCCGGCAAGATCCACCGTGATATCAAGGCCGCCAACGTGCTCCTCACAGACCAGGGCAAGGTCAAGCTGGCCGACTTTGGCGTCGCCGCTCAGCTCACCAACATGAAATCCCAGCGCATGACCTTTGTCGGCACCCCCTTCTGGATGGCGCCCGAAGTCATCCAGGAGGCCGGCTACGACTTCAAGGCCGATATCTGGTCCTTGGGCATCACGGCCATGGAGTTGGCCGAGGGCGCGCCTCCCCACGCAGGGTCCCACCCCATGAAGGTGCTCTTCACCATCCCCAAGAATCCCGCTCCCAGACTCGAGGGCGACCAGTGGAGCAAGGACTTCAAGGACTTTATTGCCCAGTGTCTGATCAAGGACCCCGATCGACGTGCGACGGCAAAGGAGCTGCTGAAGCACCGCTTCATCCAGCGCGCAGGCAAGGTCGAGGCCTTGCGCGAGCTGGTTGAGCGCAAGCAAATGTGGGATGCACAGAGGGAGCAGCAAGAAGCATGCCACCGCAAGTACTACGAAGAGACAATGTCAGTATGCCTCAAGCGTATCCACCCTTGTAAATACTAATCCTGCGCAGGGTCAACTTGTCCTCCAAAAACAACGACGACGATGAGTGGGACTTTGACACGGTCAAGCGTGGAACAGTCGCGCCACGGCAAACCATCAAACGCAAGTCTACGCGCATTCCCTCTTCCGGCATCGAGGAGACACAGGCTGCTATGCAGCGGATGGATCTGAACGCTGCCCCGCTGGGCGACATTACCGACTCACCAATGTCGGTACGTCGTCACTCGCCGGTACAAAGAGTATCTCAAGTCACAGCCCTACGAGTTCCTTCTGGAAACACACCAACCGCCCGCCGCGTTAGCAACGTTGCCAACGTTGCCAAGCAGCCTCTGGGCGTAGACATGACGTTTGGTAACTCGCCGTCGACGGTGCGACACTTTAAGCGTGTCTCGTCGGGCGAGCGCCGCGCTGCACTACGTTCAAACGCTGCAAACGATCAAGACTCCCGGAACAACCAGTCATTTCATCCAAACCCAGAAGCCCGCACTTTCCGACCGTCTCCGCCCAACTCGAGCCACCCGATGGATTCGAACAACGAGAATGAGCCACCCATTCCCGACAACGCGCACATGCCCATCACCAAGGATGCGCTGTACGGCCGCCGAGCCTACAGCAAGGTCTTGGATGCAGTGTTCCAAGAAGCCCATGCAGACACGGCATCGCCCCGCCAGCGGGATGCCATTGGACGCGTTGCTCAGGCATGGCAGCACCTGGACGAAGTCGACCCCCACGGCGAATTCATGCTTCTCAAGGCCATGGTGGACCGCCTCAAGAATGACACGAAGCTTGCCTCGGCACTTGGCATCGAAGTCTCTCCTCTTCACTCGCCCTACAAACACAACACCAAGACCAGCGACACCAGCCTGGGTGGCACTACCGTACACGGATCGGGAAGCTCTCGAATCCGTCCAAGCACCTCGAACAACTCCATCTCCACCACGGCCAGTAAGAGTTCTGAAGACTATGATCGCACGCCTTCGACCCCCGTCACACCTTTGAGCAGTGGCTCTCCAACAAAGGCTCACAAAGTTGCCAAACACACGCCGCAGCTCAAGGCACACAAGCGTCGCCAGAGTGCCTTGATTAGCAATGAAAAGAGCTTTAGTGCGGATGGTGTCTGTGGCTTTGATGAAAAGAAATTGCCAGGCTACGTCGAGCCTGGTATGGAGCAACAAGCGTTGCTTGCCGATATCCTGTACGGGCAGTGGACCCAAGGTCTGCGTTCCCGTTGGCCTGTTTCCTAGTTGTTGTTGTTGTTTTTCTTTTTTTTCTTTTTTGTACCACGTCCTGACAGGCGTTGAGTCGACATTACTGCACCCAGCGCGCTGCCCCAGTTGCATGCTCTATTCCTCTTTATGGTTTCATTTTGAAACAAAATCCGACTACGATGAACTCGTTACGACTGATGAAGCGCTCATGACTCTGGGGTTGTGGGACTAACGAGGGAAACGGGCACCGGGACGCTTAATTTATGGCATTGGTATAGGTGTTTTTTCTTGGGGTTTCCGCGACGATGGCAATCGAACGGCATATTTTGGGTTTCTTGTGTATAATAGGTCTAGGCGTGTGTAATTAAGACACCAATTTTTGGTGAACTGTTCATACCATGGTTCGCCCTGCTCTGCTGCCGTGCTGCGTCATTTGAGGCGGATGTGCACATTGACATGTAAGTATGGTAGCGCCTCGCTTAATAGCTTGTACGCCTACTGCATTGCTGCTTGCGTGTTTCCCACGCCACAGCCCATCTCTCTGCGCCCACGTTTTCGTCGGCCACGATGCACCCGCAACGTGGGCTCCCTTTGCAACGTTTATGGCTCGCCCTTATCCAAGCCGCCGGAACAACGGCACCACACAACGCCAAACAGCCACAACCCTAACCGTTCATGCCTCCCAATACTCCGGACCTACATGGATAGCCCTAGCGTTGGAGCCATGTTTACACGCCAATCCCTACTGGCTTCCCTATGCTGCAGCCAACATTCCCAGCTATCCCGCATTCAGCCGTGTCCGATTAATATGCCATGTGCAGAAGACGTCAGCACCTGTCAACAGAAAGAAAAATGTCGCCGCATCCCTGCCCTTTTTCCCATCGCCCAATCCTGAATAAGCCTCCGTTTTGACACCGACAAAACATGTGTGTGTTTTTCACTATCCCATTGGCTATTGCCACGCATGTTACGGTCCTACTACACAGCAGCCCTTGCGTACGCATCTAGGCCTTTTCCCGATACCCGATACGCCGAGTGGGCGACGACGTTTTTGGTCTATCATCTACTTTTTCTCGAGAAAAAAAAATTGCCTCGCCGGCATGTATGCGGCCGGGCCTTTATGTACGAAGTGCGGGGAACACACATGTATAAATGGGGCAGCTGGCTACCCAAGCTTTATTCTTCTTGCCCGTCTTGTCGTATTTTGGCTGGGCAGGAAAGCTTGGTGGAAGCTTGGCTTTTGTCTTGTCTAAGAAACTGCAGCAGTTGCTATCGCGGGTATTAGGAAGATGAAGATGCAGGTGAGGCAGGCTGGAATCGTTGCCGTGGCTATTGGAGGGGTTGGCGCCGCGCCACAGGCGACAACACTCTCTGCAGCAACAAATGTGGGGGTGAGTACAATGGATGTGTATCCTCCTGCTGGTAGTAAGTTCAAGTCTTCGTTTTGTCTGCTTGTTCTGTTGTGTCTTCAATCGAGATGCTAACCTGCTTCCGTAGCCGAGGTCAATGCCTCTTTATTCCCGCCAGAGTCTGTGGTCGGATTCCCCGGACGTAAGTTATCCATTGCGTCACCAGACTGGAGAGCTGTAGATGTTTTTCAAGCGGCGAGTTAACACAGTACAGCAACACCTTCAGGTGTAGAGCCCAATGCTATCCAGACTGCGCCGGCCTATCCGTACAACGAGCAAGCTGCGTTTTCGTGGCCTCTGATCAAGCCAAAGCCACACGGCAGCGGTTCTCAGTCGTCTGACTTTGATATTGCTAAATACTGGGGCAATCTCAGTCCATGGTACTCTGTTCAAAGCGCCGACTACGGCCTGCCAAACGCCAGCCCTCTGATCCCAGATGGGTGCGAGATCACGCAAATGCACCTGCTGTACCGTCACGGAGCCAGGTATCCCACCAGTGACGCTGCCCCAGCCAAGTTTGCTGCCGAGCTTACGAAAGCCGCCAAAACCGGCCTTTCGTTCTCTGGTGAGCTCGCTTTTTTGAACAACTGGAAGTACAGGCTTGGTGCCGAGCTTCTCACACCATCGGGTCGCAGCGAAAACTTTATGCTGGGAATCGAGTATCGCCAGCTGTATGGCCATCTCCTGAACAACTTCACGGCAGCGGGAAAGATCCCCGTCTTCAGGACCGAGAGTGAAGACCGCATGGTCAAGACTGCCGAGAACTTTTGTGCCGGTTTCTTCGGCGTGCCCGAGTACATGACTGAAGTCAACCTCGAGATAGTCGTCGAGGCTGATGGCTTCAACAACTCGGGCGCGCCCTACGATGTTTGCAACAACTCCAACATTGACTCTCGAGGCAGCATCGGCGACACGGTAGCAGCCGAATTCGCAAAAAATGCTTTCAACGGCACACTCGCTCGCCTGCAGTCCCAAGCCAACGGCATCAAATTTACGTCCAAGGACATCATTTCCATGCTTGATCTCTGCGCCTACGAAACCCACGCACTGGGCTACTCGTCCTTTTGCAGCCTCTTCAGCGAGCAAGATTTCCTCAACTACGAATACTTCTTCGACCTCACCTTCTACTACGACAACGGCCCTGGCTCTCCTGTTTCGGCTGCCCAAGGCAAAGGTTACCTGGATGAATTCATCGCTCGCTTTACACACACGGTTCCCGAGCCCAACTCTGCGCTCAACGAGACCATGGATAACTCGTCGACGTACTTTCCGCTCGACCAGTCCATCTACGCCGATGCCACGCACGAGGTCGTTGTCCTGGATACACTGACTGCTTTCAACTTTACAGCGCTATTTAAAGGTCCGCCGCTGAGCCCCAAGGCGAACCAAGGCCAGAACACGTTTGTAGCGAGTAAGCTCGTGCCGTTTGCAACGCATTTCACAACCCAGGTCATGAGTTGTCCGGCCATGGTACCGACGAAGCAGATTCGCTTCCTGATGTATGTCTCCTTTTTCCTTTTTCCCCTTTCCCTTTCCACGTACCCTTTGTTTCCGGCAAGTAGTCGAAGAACCAAAAAAAAAACTAACGCGAAAAAATAATAGCAACGACGCCGTCATCCCCCTCCACGAATCCCATCCTGGCTGTCCCGAAGACGCAAATGGACTTTGCTCCTTCGACAATGTCGTTGACGTGCTCAAGAAGCGCAGTGCCGAAATCGACTTTGACTATGATTGCTTTGCGAATTATACTGCTGTCCCCGGCGTCGATTATAATGGGCGTGCTCCCCAGGTCGTCATGTGAAGTAGGTGGCATGTGTAGATAGTGAGTGAGTGAGTGAGTGAATGAGTGGTTTGATGGTTATGGTTATGGTTATGAGAAATGCGAAATAGAAGATATGATTGTTCAAATGAAAGTTTTTTTTGGGGGGGAGTAAAGGCTTTGTTTACGTGTTAAATAAAGACGATGCTGTGGTCACGTTATATACGGATTACATGATTAGGGTCTGGAAATGCGGTATACTACTCGCTGGATGGTGATTATTTTCTTCCTGTCTCTCACTTCCTCACTTCCTTTCTCTCTCTCTCTCTCTCTGTCTCGTTCTATTTCTCATCATTTGCATGGCCGTGAAATATGTCTTTACTCCTTTTTTTTTCTTTCTAGGTGTTTCTTATCTTGTCTTGTCTTGTCTTAGTCAGTTAAACTACATAAAATAGATTTAAGAAAAAAAAATGAAGTTCATATGTTATACTTTTTTTTTGGTTCTTCTTTCACCCCTCCCCCCTTTACTGATCGGACCCAGCCGAATAAAGTGTCCCTCGTTGAGCATCAAATCGCCGTTATCAACCCATTATCAGCCCATTATCCACCATCCCCTTCTTTCCTTTCACAGCAATCATGGCTTCCTTGGTGTCCCGTTCCTTTTTACCTCCTCCAACCAACCAACCAACCCGGTCGAAACCTCCCACCTCCACCTTCTCTGTTCTCAGAAAAAAAAGAAAAGTAAAAAAAAAACAGTGCAATTACAAAAAAAAACTCCTATGAGACGTTTCTTCATTGTAGTAATTCTCCACTTCACCGCACCAAAAGAAGCCGCACTCAAACACGATGATTCGCCTGCCGACTCAACGGCTTACTAACTTCTATTACAAAATCCCGCTGCATATTGATATGCAGTCCATCACTATTACTCGGCGGCGAGCGACTGGTAATGACCATTCGCTTCTGGCTGCCGTCATCGGTGGCCATGTCCTCCTGGCTGTTATTGCTGTAGTCATCGAGGTCGCCGTAGATTTTAGTTTCGACGCCTACGTCCTTTGTTTTGCCCGTCATGAACTTGTTTCCGGAGCCAGTGGTGTTGTTGGATTTTGCGGCGGCTTCGAGGTCGCCGCCGTGCGCGTGGTGGTGGTGGTTGTCGTCGAGCTCCAGCCATTGCTTGGATGCGCCGGTGGATGCGCCGCGCGCGTGCGGAGAGTGTTTCTTGGAGCGGAAGCCGCCCGACGAAAAGTCGTTTGAGCGCCCGCTTGCGCTGTTGCCGGTCCATGTGGAGAAGCGCGCGATGGCGTGTTTGAGCAGCGGATGGCACGCTGGTAGGTTGGCGACGAACATGCCCACGTTCATTTCGGCAGATGCCCATGCGAGGATGTCGGAGAGGTTCTCGAGGAGCCGCGAGGCGTCGTTGAGGCCGATGAGGAATTTTAGACGCACAATGGGCGCAATCGAGGCGCTGTTGCAAGTGCCTTGTTAGTACATATGTGGCTGTGTGTATAGGTGGGTTATGTAAGTATAGGGGGGAGCCGACCACTTACAAGATTCCCAGTCCCAACATGGCCATGACAGACCCTTTTACGCGCCAGTCTAGCTGCACGTTCCAGAGCAGGAAGATGGGGAGCGTGGCAAAAACCCAGTCTGTCGAGATGGATACCACGACCACTGCGTACGAGAGGACGGTTTGGATGCTGCGGTCGTTGCATTTGCCTGGCATCTTTGGGTCCCAGTTTCTCCTGTTTTCCAGGTCAGTCTTCTGTTTTTTTTTACTCTATTCATCTTCCACGAATGACTACTTACTGTATAGGCGTACACTGGAAAAACAGGTACACGCCTGTTCCGCCCATGACGATCAGGCACAAGATCATGCAGGCGTAAATGACCCATTCGAGCCACTTCTTGCTTGTTGAAATGCGGATCAGGGCAAACCCAATGCTGCATTTGATGGTGATGAGGGTAAAACACCATGGTTCTTGGAAAATGTAGAACCACTGTTCAGTGGTTAGTCTTGCATTTGACACTGTTGAAAAAGAAAACACAGAGGAAATACCCTTAGTGAGTTGGTGTATTGCTCGGGCGTCAGTGTAGCGTCGTACTGGCCTATGCCACTCCATGCCATGCCCAGAGTGGCGATTGTGCTGACGCTCCAAAAGGGCTGTAGTCATGTCAGTGGTAATGTGGAAATGAGACAAGTCGGGATTCTTACAACGTTGATTAACATGGCCCAGTCGTCGGGGCCCCAAGCATTCCTCTTTGTGCGTATCCAGAAGCGCAGAATGGTGGATATAATGTCAAGTGGCAGAGGTATCAAGACGGACAGAGCCATGGGGTAAGATGTTGGCGCCATGGTGATGTCGAGTCGGGCTCACCCACAATCGAGAGATGTGTTTCAGCGGCGAGCCAGAACCTATGTACGAAGGGGAGTAGAAGCCAACAAAACAGACCAAGAAGCCAGTTCTTGGTGATATCGACTATGGGGCGCGTGCGGAGGAATAAGAGAAGAGTGCGCAGGGAGAAGGGGACAAGAGACGAACGCCCCCCCCCCTTCAACGGCGCAGTCAACGGGCACAACCATGGCCTGGCATGCTTCCAGGCATTCTGGATGCTGGATTGGGACAGGCATGCTTCTTCCGTCTCTCGGTTCCACGCAGCTGGCGCGCCCAAAGACGGTATTGTCTTAGTCACAAGGAAGCATCGTGTGTCAATTGCTCAGACCGCAGTTTAGCCCGACCAGGTCCAGCATGGGACCGACCAACGGGGGGGCCGGGTCGGGATGTGCGTTAGCTGGGTGTTTTGGTCATGGTGCCGGCACTGCGCGCGGCGGCTTTAGTCCCCGTGTCCCACTACGACATTCATGGCATTTGAAACGGATCCCATCCTGATGCTGGCCCAGGGTAGAATTTTCTCCCCGGCCCTCGGAGCCTTGAGGCGCCAATAGCTGTCCTGCACGCCATCTTGCCGGGAAGGTATGCCTTGGCCCCAAGGCCATGGCACTGCAGCCTCGCCTCCACACGACTCGCTGCTACACGACATCGTCCTTTCTCCTATACTGTCCCTAGGTCTTAATAATCTCCTTCTGTCGATACGCTTCACCGCTTGGATCTCCCGACAGACAGCACCAGCACACGGGAGCACTTGCATCTCGGGCCTTGACCGTTGTGCGTTCCACCCGGCTCAATGTGCACAAGTCGCCTCGCATCTCCTTCCCACCACACCAGCACAACCATAACCACCACCATCCGTTGGAGCCTCGCCAGGATATTTGTCTGGCCCCCCGGGTGCGGGTCCCGCCTATTCATGGCTGTCCCCAGCCAGTTCAGGTCAGATGCTGCATCATACATACATACATACATATGTATGCACGCTACGGAACATTCCGACCCCCACATGGCTGCCAACTACTACCTCCTTAGTGCTGCGCCGCAAGCATTCCTGCCATTCCCTCCACAACTTTCACACAAAACTTGACTTCTCCATCACTTCACGATGCGAGATTCTCCCCGATGCTCCCCGTATCGAAGCCAGATAATGCCGCCTAGCCACCCTGGTCTTGCCGCCTCATACGAAGGGTAGGCTCTTCCTCGGCGGATCCTCTCCTTTGCGCCCCAGTTTAAATAAAATAGACATTCACCGCCCGACCAAAGCTACAACAGGCGCCAAGCTCTCCAACGGCTCTTGTGCTAGTTCGATAATGGTTGTGGCTCTAACCGTTTTATCTGACCCAGGATTCCCCGCCTTGTGTGTGTTGGCCACAACACACAGCCTCTCCGGCGACTACAGTGGCACTGTTGGCTTCGAGAGAGATAGAGAAGGTCCGATACTACTTAACACGCTCGCTGCGTGCTCGTTTTTCATTTCCTTTTTATTTTCTCTATTCCCTTTTGCGACTACAATCCGAATCCTGCCAAGTTTTATACGTAGACAAGTTATCTGTCTGCACGCATAGCAACGTGGAAGACACGAACAACAACGACCAAGATGGCTTCAGCACGACCTTTTGACGGCAAACTTGCCATTGTTACTGGATCTTCAAGGAGTATGTGAGACCGTTCTATTGCCTCAACATCCCATATCCCTTCCACCCATATCCTTCTACCCATATCCTTCCACCCATATCCTTCCACCCATATCCTTTCCCACCCATGGCCATATCCACTGCTACCCCATGGCCAGAAACGTCGGATCCGATATCGTAAGACGGAGCATTGACCCGAACTTCTCCCTCTAGGTTTCGGCGCAGCAGTAGCAACACACCTTGCCGCTCGGGGGGCAAACGTTGTAATCAACTACGCGACAGCGACTTCTGACAAGGCCGCCGCGGATCTCGCTGCCCATCTCTCCAAGACATACAATGTCAAGGCACTTCCCGTGCGCGCCGATCTGCTCGACCCTTCTGCCCCCGCGGCGCTCGTCGAGGCCGCCAAAAAGCACTTTAGCAATCCCGCTGCTACACCAGCCTTCCAAATCGACATTCTCATCAACAATGCCGCTCTCGTCAACGCCCAGCCCATCAACGAGCTCGACGTTGAACTCTGGGACCAGACGTTCAACCTCAACTGCAAGGCCCCTGCGCTGCTTATCAAAGCCGCGTTTCCCTACCTCCCCCACGACCGCTCTGGTAGAATCGTAAACATCTCGTCTGCAACGACGACATGGGGCTTGATCCAGCAGACGTCGTATGCGGGCACCAAGGGCGCCATAGAAGCCATGACCCGCGTGTGGGCGCGTGAGCTGGCGGAGCGCTGCACAGTCAACAGTGTGTCTCCCGGTCCCATGGACACGGGTCTGCTAAACGGGCTGCCTGAGGCACCCAAACAGGCCCTCAGGATGTACGGAGGTGCCTCACAAAAGTTTTGTCCTGCCAAGAATAATTTAGCCGAAATCTGGCCGCTCTCCTACACAACGCCTATCTCTCCCCTCTATATACTCATTACCACCTTGTAGCTCAATTATCTTTGGAATATGTATAAGAATACGCTCAATCCAAGCTTGGATCTTAGCTTGTGGGAGATCTCTCCAGCAATTTAGCCAGATTCTAGTTGCCTCCGTTCTTGACTGTGGAGCTCCTTTCTTTGTAGTCTCTCTCTTCATGTAGAACCAGCATGGCTCAATACAGTTACAGTCTGGAGAGTTGCCAGGCCAAAGTAGTCTCTCGACGTTGGATAGACTATAGACAACGTTCTGATACTGGTGGGCGTGCCCAGGTGCCTTATCCTCCATAACTACGGTCTGAGGCCTATCTTGGAGGCACTCTTTGGCGAAAGGAATCAGCTTTGGGATCAGAACGCAGCTCTGATATCTCCACCAGTCTATACCGCCTTTGGACGAACGCACTAGCTTGCCTGTCTGCTCTGTCCATCTCCATTGAGGCTTCCTGCCAGGCTTATTACGTAGTCCTGTCCTTCTCATAGATGTGGACAGCTCCCACTCCTCTCGCTGGAGAGGCTCGAGCTCAGCGTTAAGCTGCTCAATCTTCCGAGCAGCGTCTTTTTCCTCCACGTTTGTCTCTGGCTGATAATATGGCATGGACCCTTTTTGTCATA